TCAAGACTGAAGGATGCCTACACAAAAAAATGTTCAAGGCACTCACTATTGTAGTGATCTAAAGACACTTTAGGCTGAGGAAACTTGCTTGAAGCAAGGGCCTTAGAATATATGCTTGAAATATAGGCAATGGCTGGTCACAAGAAAATAATTCTGCAGCATGGTTCATTTGGAGAAAACATCAGCAAATACATGGTATTATCTTGATGTTGGTCGTGATCAAGATTTTTTAAGTTTTTAAGAATGTGTGTGATTAAGATCTGACCAAGATTTTGCATGGAATTAACACGGTGTAGGATTTAGGAGATTAAGGTTAAAATCCAATGACAAGCTGTATGATCAAGATTGTGAATGATTGAGATTATATATGTCACTCTGTACTGTCATTTAGATCCAATGATTTGTACTGTCTGATAATTTGTACTGTCTGACTTGCCACCCACAGACTTGTTAAGGGGATGAAGAATACAAGAGCATTATTTTAAAAGGGAGAAATAAAGCCTAAAATTTGCTGAAGCGATAAGACTCAGTAAAGCAAGATTTCCATAAGGCTCATAAAGAGTAAAACAAAAGATCCAATACACTAATGGGCTGGAATATAAAACGGCAGATAACAAAAATAAAGGGGGGGTAGCTAAGAAGAGGATACACCTGTATCAAGGAGAATTAAAGAGAACAAAGTAGCAGCATAAGAAGTAAGCAGTGGAAATTAAGCTCTGGGCCAATGTCTGCACAATTGGCCCAGAAATGGAAACAAGATGCTGCTGACAACTTGTCATACAGGACTATGAAAATGAATAGTCAGGCCTGGATCATCCTTTGTCTTTCTTACACAGTCAGAAGGGTTCTTCTGCTGTTAGTCTCTGTCCTTCTAATGCTCCTCCCTGCTCGGTGTCATTCTCCTTAGTGCTCCAGAGGGTTTCTCCACAACATATCTGTAGGGGAGCATAGGGAGTTGCAAGGCAGAAGGAAAGGTCACTGGAGATTACTTATGTATTCCACTGATAGTAGTCTTCTGTGAGTAGAGTACCACTCACAAGAATTGAGGATCCAAATCATTAGTTACTGTCTGTCCGAGAAAGAGTTATACTGTTTGATGTGCTGGTGATTAGGTGGACCATAAAAGCTATCCAGAAATATCATGCATATGTTCCCCATAAAATTCTGTAACAGGTACTTCCACATAATTGAAGTAGATAGAAAAGGCATGCCACTATCAGGTTGTTTTGACAAAAAAAAAAAATACATGTTTGACCTACAATGTTTGGAAGTTAAATTCTATTCTTAAACAAAACAAAATTCTATTTTCAGCATGGAGGCAATTCTCTGATTCATCTACCTGAAGGTATTCATTTCTGAACAAGGTATGAATAGCTGTCATGGTATTCATAATGCAAAACATGCACAATAGGAAAGATGGACTGACTTTTCAAGGTACATCTCTCGTACCCTTTACCAGGCAAAATTGAATGATTGTTTAATATGGCAGCCTGAAAAAAACATTCTAACAAGAAGTCCTGCAAAATGAGACCCCAAAGTTATGAAAGTTACTTCAGGATATGGACAAAAATCTCACAGATAGGCAGGCTGTTTCATTTGTGCTGGTCTTGCTTAAAAGTCAAATAACTTGTGTGCAGGACTGCACCTGCAACATTGTCCCAAAATATGATGCATGACTCCAAAATATACCATATTTTTCGCTCCATAAGACACACTCCCCCCCCCAATAGAGGGGGAGAAAGTATGTGCATCTTATGAAGTAAATACAGTTTTAAAAAGGTCTCAGCCACCACCACCCAGAAGCCTCCCACTGCCATGCTGGGAGGCCTCTGAACTGGCACCAGAGACTGCTTGCTGTTTGGACCTCACCATTCTGCACTGCTGGCTTTCCAGGATCTACTTCCTGCAGCCTACCTGAAAAACCAGTAAGGCCAATAGCAGTAGGCAATGAAAATAGGCAAGGACCAAAGGGGGGAAAAAGTGATTCTAGAAAAACCAGGAGAAACCACAAACACAGTTCCCCACTTAGGCAGTTGATTTTCCCACATTTGGGGAAATCATAGGGATCAGCACATCCAAAGTGCAACAGATGAGCCTTACCCTGGGAGAACCACTTTTACAATAATGGTATCTCCCCTGCCAGGTATGAGTTGGAATGGCCCCTGAAAATTCTTCCCCTTTCTGTGCCCTATCCCCCAAAGGCATGGTGATCCCCAGGCTGCACCTCCTGATTAGAGCAGGGCTGCACAGCCCCAGTCCTGAAAGAGGCCAAGAGACCTACTCAGTGTTTTGGGGTGCCCCACAGGACCCCCATCAGGGGCTGGATGTTCCTCCCACAATCCTCCAGTGCACAGATACAGTGGGGTCTCGACTTATGAACGGCTCGACATACGAACGTTTCGACTTACGAACTGCTCTCATAGGACTATATGGACTCGACTTACGAACTTAAATTCGAGTTACGAACTCTTTTTTCCCCTTTGTTTAAAGCTAAGTCATCTTAGGTTAAAAGAAAAAAAGAAAAAATATATCCCCCTCTAGTGGCAGAAGGCGGAATAGCAGCTTCCCATTAGTTTCTATGGACGAAAAGAGCAGATACGGATTAAATGGTTTTCAATGCATTCCTATGGGAAATGCAGATTTGACTTAAGAACTTTTTGACCTGAGAACTGCCTTCCAATACGGATTAAGTTCGTAAGTCGAGACCCCACTGTATTAGCATACCTAATATGCGGGGAAGGCAGGGAAAGCTGGGAAATTCAAACTTTCAGTTAGTGAAGAGGCTGCTTGTCTGCTTCCTTGCTAGTCCAAGCAGTTAGAGAGCTGGGAGAGAGACCTGGGATTGCCTGGTATTATCATTTTAAAATGTAAAATTTAGTTTAAAAGCTGCTTGTTTTGGGTTAAACCATGCTTAGGTGAAAAGGTGCTCCATTTGAGTTGAAACCTGCTTGCCTGGGAAG